CTCTCTGCTCCGTTCCTCTGTTTCCTATCACCTGAATACAAATGACAAAGTTTGAAGCTTGGGTGTGTACAATGCATATTGTGTAACGACCAATGAAGTGGCTGTGTCTGTTATGCAGTTATTAAAATGTCTGTTAGTATTTTTACTGGTGTTCCCATGTGCTGTTTTGCCTGGGTATCTTAAGCTTTTCATTTTCATGGTCCCATTCAAATCAGTGGACTTACCCATTGAGTTGATCTCTGTCCTCAAAATACAGTACCTCCTCTTGTATTCGTATTCTGATTAGTGAATATTATCTTTTGTTGTTACCTGAACTGTTTTGTTTACCTTGAGTAGCTTAATTAGCTGCTTTCCCTTTTATAATACAGGTGGCATAGTATTTGTGTTCTGGTTTTGCTTTCTACTCTAATAAAAAAGCAGCGAGATTTAGATTTGAGAGGATACAATTAACAGATGGGGATGCTAACATTTCCAGGAGTAAACATAATATGCTACCTCATCTCTTCTTCAAGAGTTTGGATTATTTTCATAGATAACACGTATGTCATATTTGGATGGGTAAGGATGCAGGGCAGGAGGAGGAGCAATAAATGAAATAAAATCCCAAACAGTTTCTAAAAGAAGCATTGCACTTTTCAATACCTTTTTCAAAGGTATTGGCTTTTAAAAAATAAAAAGCTGTATATCTTAAAAATCTTTGTCGTATTTGAATAGAAACTTCTATTTAACTTCTTCAGTGTAGATTTTCAGTTTAATTTCTCTCTGACAGATGAGTTCAAAGGCAGAACTACATCCATGCTTTCAGACCATGCAGCCTGAGGTTGGTCACCTCACCCCAGCCATGCAGCTGATACTGAGGATGGTTTCCTAGGTGGGGAGTGGCCACGGAGCCCTTGTGAAGAGCTGGTGGGGAGTAGTCCCACACAGGACAGTGAGCCCCTGTGAGCTGCCATGAAGCCTGTATGTAGATGGGACTGCTGGACACATGCCCATAGTGCTGAATGCATCCACATGGCTCTGTAGCTTGCTGTCTGCCTTTCTCCTGAGCAAGCAGACCCAGGTTTCTCTCTCTAGCATGCAGGAGGAATGTCTTCTGTGTGGTGGATTAGTTTCCTTAGGCTTGGGAATGCCTCCATATTTTGGAAGGCACACTTCTGTCTGATCCAGGTGTTGCTGTTGAACCTTTTCTGGCTCCTGAGAGCAGCACACCTCGCTTGTTACAGGATGCATACACATTTCTAACCCATTTATAGAAGGTTCTCTACTGGCAAAAATCAGCCAGATTACCGAAATTCATGAAGTAACTTTTGTCGACCTTTCAGCAGTAGTCTGTTCACTGATTTACATATGTTGTTTTAAATCTCTGTGTTTGATGTGGCTCTTCTTTGCGAGGAGGGCCTTCCTTTCAAACATAATTGGGGAAGATTATGAAAAATGTTATGCTCTGTGTCAGTGGGCAGCGTGCAGAACTTCCTGAGATGGGCTCTTACTGCTTGCAGCTATTAGGTGACTGCCTCCCAATAGCTCTTTATTTTTGTCTTCTGCTTGCTGCCTCAAATTCTTGCGTGATGGGTTCTTTTTAAATCTGACTCTTAGGAGTAGGGGTATTGGGATTACGTGACAAGGTTTGGGTAGTGGGGGTTGCATGGGTGGCCTCTGTGAGAAAAGTCCAGAAGCTGCCCCGTGTTTGATAAGGGCCAGTGTTAGCTGGACCTGCTGCTGGCTAGAGCTGAGCCAATAAGCAAGGTTGTTTGCACCTCTGTGAGAGGAGAGTTAAGAAATAGGGGAAAAAAAACAGCTGTGCCATGGCAGCTGGGAGAGTGAGGAGTGAGAAGTAGCTCTGCTGCTCTGCTGCAGCCCCCCAGGTCAGTGTAGCAGGAGGGCAGGAGGTGCTCCAGGCAGGCAGCAGCAGTTCCCCTGCAGCCTGTGGAGAGGCCCCTGGTGGAGCAGGCTGACCCCCTGCAGCCCATGGGTCCCACACGGAGCAGATCTCCACGCTGCAGCCTGTGGAGAAGCCCTCGGTGGAGCAGGTGGATGTGGCCTGGAGGAGGCTGCAGGCCCATGGAGAGCCCCTGCAGGAGCAGGCCCCGGGCCGGAGCTGCAGCCCGTGGAGAGGAGCCCTCGCAGGAGCAGGGGTCTGGGGGGAGCTGCTGCCCCCCAGATTTGGGTCATGACAATGACTGCTGAGGGATCTCCCTGTCGTTATCTCAACCCTTGAGACCTTTCCATCTCTTTTCCGTTTGAGGAGGGGAAGTGAGAGAGAGGTTGTGGTGGAGCTTGGCTGCCCAGCTGGGTAAAGCCACCATGGTCAGCGAAGTTATCTATGTGATAGCAAGTGTACAGACTTGCAGCTTTATGATTACGTACAGTAATACAGCAGTTTGACTGAGAGTATGCTGCTGGAAAAACTTTGACACAAACATTTGGCATTGTGATGGTTTATCTACCATAGCTACTCTTGATTTCTGAGTGAAGACTTGACAATATAGCCAACATGGCTGTATCACTTCAGAAAATACTTAAACTTAAGGTCGTGGCCTCTGGAGGCTTCCAACAAATGAGAATGACATGGAGGAACTGAAAATCAAGCAGTAAGGTATGCCATCATCTTGACACAAAGATCTGTTTTATTGTTATATTCTAATTCGTTAGAAATAAATGAAGTTCCCAGCTTTAAGGGCTTGGTGATCTTCTATAAGGCAACCATGTCGTGCAAAGCCTGTAATGTAGGTTCCTAACAATATATAAAAAAGATCTAGTAACCACGTGGTGGAATGGCTGTGAATTTCTACTTGGACTATGATTGATACTCAGCCAAGGCTACAGAGTGAATGGTAATATGAAGGGGAGAACTGGTGGCTTGCAGAGCAAGAGACCAGCAAGTGGAGCTAGTGTCATGGGATCTCTGCAACCACATTATTATCTTTCTTTTTTTTTCCTGGTAGATTAATTATGGCTGTTGAGAGAGACCGCTAACTAGGGGAACAAATGCTGCAACGTCATGGCCACAATTACAAATTTTGAACTAGCAGGAAGGCTTTGAAAACAATGCCTTTCAGATACGTTGAGCCTTTTCATTTTACTGTAATGTTACAACAGGTTTAACAAGAGTTTTTTGTTGTTTTTTTTTTTCCTTCTCAGGATTATTTCCAACCCTCTTAAATTCTTGGAGACAACCTTTATTCTATTGAGGATTGTTTATTTATTTATTCATTTTTTTTTAATGTGACTTCCTGTGGTGGTGCTTGATTTGCCATAGTGGAACTTGAACTGCCAGGAGCTTGTGTTGAGCTTGCCAAGTCTGTGGAACCACTCGTCTTGATTCTGCAGGACCATTACCCCCAGGGGCGAAAACAATCATCAGGTTGATTGTACAATGACGGATGTTTAATTTGTAAATGTCATGGCAACTTCAGGGGCTCTGTTTGGCACGCAGTGCTTCAAATGCTGGTTTTACATGAAAAGACAGCTATGACGTGTGGCTGGAGTTGCTGCAGTTCTGCTTGCTTCTTTTTTTTTAATTCTCTTGGACAAGGCGGCCCTTAACCCGTTGCTGATAATCTGTTACAGTTGAGGTGTGATGTCTTTTCTTGTCATAATGTGAATTAAGTAAAAATCCTGCTGATACAAAGTCTGTTACATTCAAACGTAACCTGAGTGTTTCTTTATTTTCCTTACTTTTCAATGCCACTTGCCTACAACATCTGTAATAGGTTTAGTCTTAGCGTATTTATCTGCTCTAGCAGTCGGATATCTAAGCTAATAGTCTAGACCCTGTGTAGTAAGTAAGGGGAAAGCACAAGAAGGATGTGGGGCTGTTAGGGTGGGTCCAGGGAAGGGTCGCGAGGATGATCAGAGGGCCGGAGCAGTTCTCCTATGAAGACAGTCTGAGGGAGCTGGGGTTGATCAGCCTGGAGAAGAGAAGGCTCTGGAAAGACCTTACAGCAACCTTTCAATATATAAACTTTCAATATATAAAGGGTGCTTGTAAGAAAGACAAGGGAAGACTTTACTAGGGCATGTAGTAGTAAGACAAAGGGTAATGGTTTTAAACTAAGAGGGTAGATTTAGATGAGATAGAACAAATAAAACTTTCACAATGAGAGTGATTAGGTACTGACACAGGTTTCCCAGTTAAAGCTGTGGATGTCCCGTCCCTGGCAGTGTTCAGAGTTTGGTTGGGCAGGGTTTTGAGCAGCCTGATCTTGTGAAAGATGTACTTGCCCATGAGTGCTTTAATTCTGTGATTCTATGAAACACTTTCTGATCAATAAGAAAATTCATGAAGCTAGGCAACAAGTGGCAGTGAGGTTAAATGTGACATTTGACTGCTGTTTTTAAATGTTCCTTATGGGGTGCCTTAGGTTTGTACCTCAACCTACCCTAAAGACAGACAAGAACCATTAACTTCTTTATAAAATAACATACATCTGACAGTTGCGTCAAGGTTACATCCAGGTGAGCTGCTTAAATTGCTAGTCATAACTCAATTTTGGAGGCAGGAATGCAACCTAGAATTCTTACTCCCCGAAGTCATACCACAGTCTGCAAAATATGTATTGCTAAAGTGTCTGCGGATTTGAATCTGCATTTACTGATCTGTGTAAGTGTGATATTTGACCCCAACTATAGCTGTGCACTGTACAAGTGTCCAGAATTGAATGTTCTGTTCGTAGTCTTTGAAGCAACTGCATTTAAATTCTGGTTTAAAAAATGCAATTCCTACAATGAGAATGTTCCGTAGAAAGCGTTGCAGCCAGAGAAATGGTGTCCAGCTGTGGTGTAGTTCACAGCAAAACTTTGAATTCAGTTTTCTCATTGTTTGGTGCATGATGTTAGTAGCTTTTCAGTTCCTGAAAAATGTTCGTTCCTAAAACAGTTCATGCTCTTTTAGCTTGAGGGGAAGGGAGAAAGAAAATACTTGAACACACCTGTAATTTTCCCAGTACCACAGCTGCTGTGTATGATAAACTAATGTGCCTACCTTTGTTGTCTTGTAGATAAACTCTGAAGAACATGTCGATACAGCTGATCAGGAGACAGTCTCTTGGGATCGCAGTATACCTGAAGAAATAAAACAAAAAATACAGCCTAAGGAGGTTCCAGCAGAAAGTGTTACTGTCTGGATCGATCCATTAGATGCTACACAAGAATACACAGGTAGCTGATTCTTGTTGACAAATCATGTGTGTAATTCTGATGTCTGCCTTTTATACTGGAGACAAAATAGTAAGTATTTAAAGTGGCACCTCTTGTTCAAGTGTGCTATATTACAGCTAGTGGGATATAATTGAACAAATTGTATAATGACATATCAATAGCTGTCAGACTGTAGCATTCACTTTTATTTGTGCCAACTCCGATAACTTTGGTATTCCTTCTAACTAATTGCTAAAATGAATGGTAACTGTTGTATATGGATTCTGTTGGAATTGCACATTTCTTTACATTTCTTTATTTCAATTATTACTGTGGCAACACAAAATATCTTTTTTTTTCTTGTTTCTTTCTGTAAAGGAAAGGATAAATTAATATATTAATCTTAACTTGAGATAAAAAGGTTTCTGTTACAGTTTAAAAACATATGTAATTGAGTCTCCCTCTTTTTCGTGTTTTAAGATGTCATATAAGCAGTGTAGGGCAATGCAAATAAAATTTTAGCTGATAAATAGAACAAACACAACTAGATGGAGATTTTTTTTGTGAATATTTCATTGATCCCATCATCTTTTCAGGTGAATGTTCTTCAGTGGTTGAATTTTTCAGCTTTGGACCAGTAGAGGATGGGGCAAGGGGCATGGAAGGGAGAATTTAAGGACACAGATTTCCGTGAACGTACATCTTATAGGAGACACAATTGTTAACATTAATTCTAAAATTTCTGGAAAGCTTCAAAGTCTTCAAAATCTTTTGGTAACTGCAAGGTTTTTTGAAGATACAACAAAGTTACATAATTGTAAGAGTTAGAAAGTAGGCTAGTCTTCAAAGAGCCATGTTTCTGTAATGTTAGGTCTACTTTCCTTTTTTGTTCTTAACATCTGTCCGTGAACCTGCTCCATCTCTCATTTTGCCCGCAGAGGATCTTCGGCAGTATGTCACAACGATGGTTTGTGTGGCTGTAAATGGTAAACCAGTAATAGGAGTGATACATAAGCCATTCTCAGCATATACAGGTACCTTTATTCCTTCATGTATTTCTGACTTTTTCAATCATAGTGTTAATTAAAATGTAACATTTGAGGAAATGTCTGTAGATACAAATGAGGAAAATAGTATCAGGGTGCAAAAGAACACTGCTGCGGACCTCAGAATTAGAGGTCAATGTGTTCTGTGCTGTAAAACCACAAAGGAAAATGCTGCCTGTGTTTAACATAAAAAAAAAAAAGCCTTTAAAACAAAGTAACTGAAAATATGTTTAACAATTAAGCTCCATTCATTAGGAGCACTTAAAGCAAACCAAAGAAGGTGAAGCCTATGCATACTGACTGCTCTTATGTGTGCTGTTAGACTTTAGTCTACTTGGTTCCTGCAGCAGCAGAAGTTGGATCCATAAAATTACAGCTAGGAGCTGGTGTTTATTCAACATGGGTAACATAAATAAAGGATCTTAATGGCAACTGTTTGTATGTATCAGGCAAGACTTCAATAAGACGTAGCCTTATTGAATATCTGACATGCTGTTAATGCACAACCCTAGCCTAATTAAATCTTTAGTACTAAAGATTTAATCAGTGAGGATGGCTAAAAGTTTGGCACTCTGTGTGTGTACTTCTGAATGTTTCAAAGTAGTTACAGTGTTCACATCTTCTGTACTATACACTTAAAACAAGAATTTCTCTTCTTGTTTTTCCCTTAGGCAATACTGACCTCTAGAGTTGTAAAATTACGCAGTAGTTCTGGCACAGAAACTAAGACTGTATTTCAGTGCCGTTTTTTAGCACCGTAATTTTGAGAATTTAACTCCTTTAACAGCAGTAAAATGTGACATGTTCAGACATGGCATTAGATGAAATGCAATTAATTCTGTCATTCTATGTGAAGAGTATTCATTTTCCAGGCTGGAAGTACCAATGTGTTGTGAGTAGGATTGTTCCTAGTAGTACCACTCCAATATATAGCAATAAGGCAGTCACTATTGTTAATACACATAGCTCAGTCTGTTGCCATACAATCTGGCCCTCTACTGAGATAAAATTGCTGGTTAGTCTGCTAAGTAAATGTCAAATTAGTGGTTAGGGGATGCCAACTTCCAACCTTGGCTTTGAACCTCACAATGAAGCAAGTGGGAGGCTGCATATTCCAAATCCATTGCTCCAAAACACAATATCAGATATTTTCACTTCCTTATTCATTATTATCCTTTTGAGCAAGAAGACTTATGGTAACGTTTTTGCTCCTCTGTTTTCTCTTTTGAAGGGCAGTGGGGCTTTTTGTTTTAATGAAAGTGTTGTTAGAGGAAATTTGGTTATGTGTTTGGCACAGAACTGTCTTCTTAATTTTTGCGGCTTTCCAATTGTGAGTTTTATATATCACTACTTGGGATTTTTCCTTCTTATTCGGAGTTTGCAATTATGTCACAGGCATATTCAGGCATGAAGTAATGTCAAAGACACTCAGATTTGTGCATGTGTGGGGAAGAGCTGTTTCTTTTTCTCCCGTGCTCCTGTGCACACATGGACATGTGCCTGTTCCTTGGGTCAGCCCTCAATTTTGGTGTTAAAGAGGGAAATTAAGTAAGAGAGAGGGATCACTTTCATTTTTTCAGGTAGGTATCCTTTTATCTCTACAAAAGGCAGTCTCTGTTAAGAGTAAAGCTTAGCAGAATTTGTTTTTCTCTTGTAGCCTGGGCAATGGTAGATGGCGGGTCAAACGTAAAAGCTCGTTCCTCCTACAATGAGAAAACTCCAAGGATTATTGTATCCCGCTCCCATGCAGGAAAAGTGAAGCAGGTTGCACGGCAGACTTTTGGAAATAAGACTGTGATAATCCCCGCTGGTGGAGCAGGTTTGGTTCTTTAAGCATCCTATCCATTTTAGGGCTTTCAAATGATCTAATGGGATAGCTGTTACTAGACAGAGGGGTACAACTGTGACATCCCCTCTTTCTCCTCTTACCTTCTATTCTCCATGTTCACAAAAGCAATCAATAGGGACACAGTTTCTCCTGAATGTAGACATGTAAATGCAAACCTAATTCTGGCTTTTTGTAATTCATAAGTTAATATGTGAATCTAATCCTGGATAAAGAATGTTACTTTGGTCCCATTGAACACACTGATGTGTGTTCACTGAAGATAATGATGCCTGTGTGTAAGGAAGGGGTATGTGTGACCAAATAAAGAATCATGGAAGAGAATCATTTTGTTCTTAATTAATGAGTAGTACATTAATTAAACAATATTTTAAGGAAAAGCCATTGAAGATTGGTACTATTTCTTGCATCTATGTCAAATAGAAAGATATTGTCACTGAAGCCCATTGTTACCTGTCCCATATTCAGTCCAAAGAAGTTTTAGCTATGTTTTGTTTGATTATGCAATATCCTTTTGCATTTTACTGGCAGAATGCAAATATGTGAGACACCAGTGTGAAGCAATAGCTGTTTGTAAGTCTCGCAAAAGCCGTGCAGAACTCAGATTTTACAGAAATGTATCTGTCTTTAGTGTGAAAAGCTAGAGAAAATTATCTTGCACTGGTTCTTGATAATGAATGAATCTAAATGAATTTTCTTTTGATAGAGGAGATGATTATATTAACTGATTATATTAGATTTTTTCCTGGTCTTGACTGTATGAGAATAAAAAGATACAGCTTAACAAAACAAGAATACTGGTTGAACAGTTAAAAATAGAAAAAGAAATCCATAAAATAAAGAATGCAGTTTTGAGCAGTGACTTCATACTGTATAATGTATGATAGAAGGAAATGGCCCTGAGCTAAGTTGTTGTAATTGACTGGTGTATGCGTCTTTCTTCTATTGTAATAAAAAGGCAGAAAGATGGGAGGCTTCAGTGTGATGTAGTGATTGAAAAATGAGTAAGTGAACGTAAGAGCAAAACTATGTTGAAGTCTATAGACTTATCTAGAGACTCGTTAAAAGATCAAAATTTTGTAACACATTGGTAATGGCTGTCTAAAAAGAATCTTGGGGGGGTCTGTTTTCGTTTTGTTTTATGGGTGAAATGGCAGGCAGGTTATTGGTGCTTCCACCATTATACTGGAATAGCATGATATAGTTCATGACATTACTTTGCTGTAGCTTGCATGTGTATATTGTAAACACTGCTAGATTTTTCCTTTGTGATGGAATTGGGAAACGTGGTTTAACTTTCTTATTCCAATCAATTCTTGTAGGTTATAAAGTGCTGGCCCTCCTTGACGTAGCTGAAAAGAATCAAGAAGAAGCTGATGTGTATATCCATGTCACCTATATTAAGAAGTGGGACATCTGTGCTGGAAATGCGGTGTTGAGAGCATTGGGTGGCCATATGACTACCCTGAATGGTGAAGAAATCAGTTACACTGGCTCAGATGGCAATGAGGGGGGACTTATAGCCAGTATCAATATGAACCATAAAGCACTGATTGAAAAACTTCCAGATCTGGAAGAAACGTCACACAAACTTGACTGATGGAGAAATACAAGTCATGCTTTTGTAAGCCTCCAGATGGTCTGACTGAAGAAGCAAGTGTGAAAACCTGCTGGGAAAGATGCGCAGCAAAGCAGTTTGGTGTGGGTTTGGGGACTGTATTTGCATTGGGTTTCTTCAGTGGTGGTATTTAAAAATAAAACTATTAAAAAAAAATAAAAACAACACAGTAATAATAATCAGAAGTAGGAAGGGCACTGACTGCCTCACCCCTCACTTTCCATGTCTTTTTTTTTTTTTTTGACTGTTTTCATTCAGTTCTTGTATTCAAGGTGCATATACAATATATATTTGTGAACATAGGTGAATTAAAGAAAGATCCAAATTGTTTCATAAAATAACCTCAGTAGTTCTCAGAGGAATTTCTTGAAATCTTTTACATCTTACTGTAGTTTTAGCAATTCTGTAATGAATTAGGTAGAAACAAAGAGTGATTTATATAGGCATTTGATAACTAAAAAAATCAGGAGGAAAGATGGCCCTGTGTTCTGTATCCCCTGAACAGAATTCACAAGAAGGTTGACACACATTTATATACAGCAATGGTTTATCTTGGACGGAGTGGCACTCTTTCTGCTTTTTAAGAGGAAACAAAAATGTTCTGTACTGTTTTGACTTTTTTTTTTTTTCATGAAGATGTAAACCAGTTTAATTCAGATGAGTTGTGAATATCAGTGTTTTATTAATCAGTGTAATTATTTCCATATAACTTTTTAAAAGAAGGCAATGTTTCCTTGTATACTTTTTAACAGTTGATTCTTGTCCTTGATGATTTCTCCGTACAGTGTTGAAGATGCATGCTAGATCTTCCTCTAATGTAGGGCTTGTTCATCATTTGGCATTTGTACTTATAGAAGCACAATTTGGTACCTGTTCATTTTGGTTTTCCCCATTCAATAGAGTCATATGAAATGAGTTTGATGGAAATAATAAGTTGATTGGTCATTTCCATTTATATAATATAAGCTCGCATTTTCTTTTCTAAAACCTCAGAACTAACTTTCTGCTTTCTTAGGTTAAGGGGTGTTCTTTTCTTCAGAAAGCTCTTGAGTTATCCCAAATGGCTTGTGGTTGCTTGATTTGTGGAAACTTACATATATCATTTCCCTTAAATTGAATCTTTTTAAGCAAGTTTGAAGAACAAGCAGCCCTTCAAGTACACCAGAGTCCAGAAAACCTTACTGAAAAATGCTCTTTGTCAGTCCAGTTTACGCAGAACAGAACATGGGCCCTTTGATACCAAATGACAAATCGTTGTACCTCTAAAATAGTTAGACTTCTATCAGCAGAAGCATAACCATCTGTGGTGGTGCTCTTTGTGCGCCTCTGAAGGGATTTCAGAAAGTTAAAACATACTTGTTATTTCAATTATCAATAGATAAGCTTCCCACCTCTTCTCAATTCTTCAAATATTTGTTTGAAGTTTATTTAGTAGAAACATAGGCTATTTAAAATAAATTATTATTTTATTTTTTTCATTTTTAACTTCTTTCATCATACTATTCTCATTAAAATGAGGTTTTTCCTCCTTATGTTAAATGTTAGTAGTGGAGAATGTCATAATACCTCTTTTAATGATCTTCTGTCTTATGTTCACATTTCCAAAAGACCTCCTCAGATGTTGCATAATTACTGATAAAGATGTTAATTTCGTAAACTTACTGGCAAAGTAGACTGAAGCTTAGTCCTACTAGCCTTTGGTACGGGTAGGCTTTTTTTCTTACATTGTTTTTCCAACATCGACACAATTGCTGCTATTTGAGAACACCTTCTACACATGTAGATAATATACAAAGCAACTTAACTTCATTTTTAAGTTTAATGACCTGCTATATGGTATGACAAATAAGTGAATGTGGCCTTTAAAAAAGGGGCTGATTTATTTTTAAAAATTTGTTGAGCTTCCAAACCTCAGCATATAACAAAAATCCAGGTATTTATCAAGACTTTACTAATACTTGGCAAGAAGACTGTAGCTTTTTTTTCTTATAATTATTTTCCCTTCAGTCTGATACAAGTGGGTTAAAGTGTTATAAAAAAAGCATTTCTGCTGTTTAGTAGTTAAAGAACATGGATTAAAATTTAAGCATGAGAAATAGCCATAGTTGGGCTAGTATCAAAATGTGTGTGTCACAGAGCTTGGCTGCACAATGTTTAAATAGACAGCTAAAGTCCCTGGGAGGTGGCTGGTTTCGATTCATGTTGAAAGCATGTTTAAACTTAACTTGTGAAAATGTGACTGCTTTTATTTTGGTTGCAGTCCCATCACTTCCTTCATAAGCTGTGATCAGACTTAGGTTCTGCATGAGAAAGGAAAAATAAGGTAATGTTATGTACACTAAAGGGGCTTACTGGGATTTTCTTTGAAGGTACACAGCAGTAAACAGAAATGTTTGCCTAAATTATGAAGTTAAAGACCTTTGGAAGATAAAGGTACAAAGAAGAGCCCCAGCTTTCCTTTTCTAGTTCCCATATGCTGGCTGAAATCCCTAGTTTTTCATTAGGAGGACATATGCTTGTTCCAACCTGTTTGTATCCTAAATTGCTTTGCTGCATTGGATCTCAGTGTTTGATACCTTTCTGCTTCGGGCCCCTTTTTGACCCATCTCACTTCCTGTGACAGTGAAGGAAAGGTGAGGGAGAAGAGCTTCTGGCACAGCTTGAGCTCAGGCAGCTGCCCCACAGCCAGGCCCTGCAGTGCTGTTTGCAGCTCCAGGCCTGGCTGATGGAGGAGCTGCTGCAGGGAGTGCGGTCAGGCCCCGGTCGGTATCGATTTATAATGTACATGCAACTCTTGCACAGACCAGCAGGTGTTCAGAAGTGCTTGCTTAGTGCACGTGTGCCAGTGCACTTTGATATTCCTGTGTACAGTATTGACAACCCATGCATCTTATTTCTTTGACCATGTCTACACTCCTTTCTAAAACACTTTGCCATCCTGGCTTAAATGCTTGTTTGGTTTCACCTCTGTGGATGTAAGAGAAGCTTATTGTCTGAGATCAGACTAACAGTGTCTCACTGCCTGGCTAGGGCATTGTTCTGCACCTGCTAGCCTTTTCCACATGAAACTGATGTAGCGTTTTCAGAGATGCTACTTAAAACAATTGCACAGCATAGGTGGGTCCTACAAAAGTGTCTTTTCTAAAAATTGGAATTTAAAAAACTTCACAGTAACATTCTAGGTCCAATCAAGGGAAGTAAGAGAATGTATTGTGCTAGCATTGCTTTTCACATGATGTCTTTTTTTTTTTTTTCCTTTGGGTGGATATTATGATTATGGTAACTGTCAGTGAAATTATTCTAACGCGGTGTGTATTTTCTCTTTTTCCTTCTGCTACAAAGAGTGGATGGTAGCATAGATGATACCTAGTACTGTACCAAACGTCCTAACTTGCATTCACTGAATGTTTTATAAATACATGGACACAGAAATAAAAGGGTTGAATATTGTACTCAACTGGTATTGAGTTTAACCTATTTGCAAGACTTTTGCAGGTAGATTTATGGAAGCACTGTTTGTTCTGAATGATAAAGCACATAGTAGTAATGAAAATACGAGAAGAGATAGCTTATGTGAATGATGAATGAACCATGTGGATGGAGCTAAGAAATCACCTAGTGATGTTGTTTCATGTATTTGCTTTTACCCTACAGTCATTAAGAATAGACTAATTGGCTTCAGGTGCGAGAAGAGATGTACACGTATATTTTTTGGAGATATATGAAGAAGAGTCAGCACTGATGTTCATGTCTGCATTTTTGTTTATAAACAAGTGTATCCTAACATCTTTGTAGCATCTTCTTATCTGTTGGAGTCTCACAGCAGTGGTGCAATGCTGTTGTAACCTGGTTTAACCATGTAAAACAAGCACCCTGCAACCCCAGAGCAGCGCAACGAGGAGGGACTGACCTGTGCTGGGCCCTGTCTGGGTTATTTTCCCTAGATGTGGCTGTGCTGGAGAAATTGTAACAGAGAACACTTATTTTCCATTTCTGGCTTTAAATTGCCTTGCTAGTTTCATTTCCCTTTCAGAGGTTAGATAATCATACAGTTGAAGTTTACCCGCAGATAAATGCCTGTGATTGTAGGCTCTGGCAGGATGAGGGGGAAAGTGCCTCTAACACAGGGGAAGACTGAACAGCTTCCTTTCAGGCCAGTCAGACCAAGTCTTATTTCAGGGCTCTGTTGTGCAGACTGAGGTCCATTGACAAAATTATGAATTCAACATTGCCAGAATGCTCATAGTACAATAGTCAGCTTAATAACCAAGTGCTAACACCTGCTGCCAGTCTTCTCACCCCACAAGCTGCCAATGCCTTTCACGGCTCATACCCAGGGGCACGAAGCCTTCTACTTCGTGGTTTTAAGATGTCAAGGGGCAGCCACTTTTCCTCTCATTGCTGTTCCTCATTTGTGCCTTCTTGATCCTTGCACCTTTCTTAGTCCATGTGGACAAGAAAGATGAGGGATCAGAGGTGGAAACTCCCTGAAAGAGAGGAACACAGCAACAAACTATCCATCATGTTTCATTCTGAAACTGGTAGTTTGGTGGGACCAAGGCCTAAGCCTTGGCCAAGGCCTTACCAAAGCTTTTTTTTTTTTTTTTTTTTTAAATGGTCTGCAGCTGATGGAGCCCCCTTTCAGATAAGACTGTTTTCAGCCATTGGTTGTTGCTGTGTTCCCCCACCCAAAGGATGAGCAACACTCTGGCATTTTTCCTGTTATCCCACCAAGTTGTGTTACCATTTTCCAATTGTGTGCCAAATCAAAATGACAATTCTATAAATAAAACTCTGAAAATATTGGACTGTGAGGGTGTTTTTCTATATATTTTCTTTCTGTTGGGTGTTTCTTGTTTCTTTGTGCACCAGATTTTTTTCCTGGTAATAACATAAGGCAGCTTCAGCTGTGCTACATGTATGTCTGTCCTGTGTGCATGGCTCTCTGCCTGAGGGGTTATCCTTGTTGACAGGTTCAGTCATGTTATGGTGAGTATAGAGATCTCCACGGCTTGTGTTTTCATATGTGTTTTATTCTGAAAGTTGATGGATTTATATGATGGAAAAGTTCCTGGAAATTCCCCATGTTCCTTGGATCTGAAGTTTTCCTTCCAACTTCATCTCAAAAACTTCTGAACTATCTTTATTCATTCTGTCTATCTCTTGTTTCTGTGACTTTCTTGTTTCCTGCCAAATTCTTCCATTAGCAGCCCTGTTTCTGATCATGCACCATTCTTTATAAATGAAACCATGGAGTAAGTTGACAAATGTTCAGAGAAGGTGGTTGCCACCCCTACCAGTATGTACAAGAATGGATGCAGAACGATGTCACGTATCATCCTGGCAACACTGGTCCTGATTCTCTGCTGATTTTCATCTTTTTAAGAACCAAAGTTGCCAGACAGCACCTGTGCCAGCACGGTCCTTTTAGCACTCACAAAAGCTATTTTAGCATTCAAAAAATTACGCCCTGGCACTAACAACAATTATACATACTACTAAATGGTTTCAGACTCCAAGGCAGAGGTGCTACATGTGGACTGCTGGGTGAGAAGTGTCCTGGGATCACACAGGCTACCGAACTGTGAATGGGAAATTTTTAGAGATGGAGCTGGTTTGCTTAGGCCAAAAACATGCTGAGGATCATGTAGTAGTAAAGACTGATGAGCTCTGGCGTCCAGGATCATTTCTGGACTGTGATTGACTTGTATGGATGTAGACCAAGTGTGGCACAGGAGCTGTACGTGGGTGTTTTGGAAGTCCTTGTTGATTGGATGCGATCTAACCAAGTGATTAGTGGAATATCTGGCAGTAGCTTGGAGAAAAGTGTCTGCTGTGGGGCTCTCAAGCATTTTGGGGAAAGAACAACGCAGAACTTCCCATCCTGCAAACTGGGGGGTGGGCATGGATGGAGGGGGTTGGAGCCTTATCTGTCAGTGCCACTATTGTCCCACGTGTGTTTGGTGGCACAGTCTCAGAAGCAGCCTGAACAGCCCAAGCAACAGGCTTGTCTAAGGAAGCCACAGCATGTTTCTAGGTGCTCTTTTGTGTGATTTCTGGACTAGCTGATTCCCATGGCTGCTTTGGGAGTTTTGCTTCACTGTTTTTTCAAGCAGATTGACTGATGGGGGGAAATAGAAATTGCTCTTTGCTGTGGGTTCTGTTAAGCCACCATGTGAAGGGCAAAAACACATAAGGAAGGAAGTTGCAAAAGCTGAGCCATGGTGTTAACAGTCGGTGTTTGCAGAGGGCTCTCAGGCTGGGGTTTCTCCCACTGGAGTTACCACCACAGGATGGTAGGGGCTGGGTTGCCAGCAGTGCTTCTGCCAGGCCCCAAGTGCTGCCACGTTGCATGTGTATCTAAAAGCCAGTTGCTCCTTTCTTTCTTTGTATGATAGTGAGACCCCAGGTACTCTTCTCTTAGTCTGTACACAGACATCTCCCACACACATCTAGTGTCTGAAGGCTTTTCAGTCACACTCTTGAACTCCAGACATTAATTCAGTTGTATTGCCACAATAATTAAACTTCATGTCTTACAGGGTAACAACATGTGTGGTTTGGTGTCCTTGCACAGGCTGAGAAAAAATAGTTCATTGTAAACTATTTTTGCATGGGGACATTGTGCAACTAAAATAAATATTTTTTATTTTTTTTAAATAAATAAACATAAAATTATAATTTCATAAAATAAAGTTTTATTATATATATATATTTAATATGAAGGGATTAAATACATGTAAATTCTGTACTAAGGGAAAGACCAATGTTTTAACCTGCTTTCCATAATTTTCTTAAACCTTAGTTCATGTTAGAGGTATTTGAAGCAACAGCAATTCTTTATTTATTTATTTATTTATTTATTTATTTATTTATTTATTTATTTTTCATGGTGGGAAGAAGTTTAAATCTCTCCTGTATGTGATGTTTCCTACAGGACTGAATTTTCACAGGTTTGCTTACTGTTCTGATAAGTCCTTTTCTTAAAACAACAATTTTATGCAGGTGTAATGATGACTTTTGAAACCCATATTAAGCCTCATTCTGTTAGATTTTGACCAAATAAAGATATGCCAGAATAACTTTTAGGACTGACACTTGCAGCATAATTGATTTGGTAATTTTTCCATAGCATTTCTTCACTCGTTATTGTTAGAGGACCGCTAGAAATAGGATCTTTAATACTTGCCTTGGGGAAATAAAAGCAGCGGCCAGTAGAGGGCTCAGTCTTTTCATGAATGCCCTGAAATACCAGAAAGGTGCTGGGAACTCTGAATTTACACACCCCTGGTTTGTTGCTGTTGTTTAAACCAGGGAAGGTCTTTCACTTGTTTTGCTCAGTCGGGGCATGTGTTTTCAGTTAAGAGGACACCCGTAGAGTTCTGGGGTCAGATCCAGAGGGCGGCGATGAATTATTACTGTTCAGTTTGACAGCTTGTTGTTATTTCTAATACACGCCTTTTCTTGTATTTTTTGATTTAATATTGTAGTAAACGGCAAATTTTTGTACAGTGGGCTTAAACTACTGGCAATATACTTTCTTCCTTCTAAACTCCATAAATTTATCCCACAAATTTACAGATGTTTGTGACTAGAACTTGAAAGTCACAGTGTGAACTTCACGTGAACATGTCTCTGTGCTAGCTTATTTCCTATCAGTTTTGCTCCTGCAAATCATAACAATAAGTTCAATTGTGACAAGCTTACATCCAAGCTTTGTGTGTTTTTAAGTACACAGCCACTCCACTTGCCACTTCAACTTAATGGTAATTGTCTGATACTGTTAGAGGAGCAGCTCCTGCCCTTCCATCAGCTCAACTTCTCCTACATTTCAGTCTCATGCAAATAATCTCTTTATTCCCATCCATCATCAGCACAGCTTGACCTTCTCTAACTCTATACCTCCCCACACACTTTCTGTTGGCTTGTTTTTTAAAATTGAGATGTTTCCTCACCACATGCGCATTTTTAATTATTTATATTAACAAACGAAAGCCTATTCTGTTGCTTAAGCAATTGCAACACCCCATCTTACAATCATTAAAATACCGAGACTTGGTTCTCCAAATAATATAAACTGCCTTATATGTTTTGAAAGCATTTGGACTTCCTTCCAGCTAGCTAACAGCAGGCTTCTGTTTTGGTCTTCCTTATCTGGAAATGTTATGCCTCTCAGCAGTGTGTTGAAGCCTCTTGAAGCACCTCCATCATACTTATCTAGGCTCTTTCTTGCCTCTGTACCAGCAACAACAATTTGCTCACTATTTTCTCAGCTGTTTGCTACTGAAATTATTTGGATATTTTTCTTATTTTTGTCATTGGCATTTGTTGTCCTTTTGTTCATTTCTCACACGGGGAAACAAACAAACAAACAAAATCCTTTTCTCTTCCTTCCTTTTACAAGAAGCTTGCAGTGCTTTTCTCCACTACTGTTTACCAGTACTATACTAAAAACAAAGAAAATGCAATAGTATTTCTTCACGTTGCCTTTTCTTTGTACCACATGGACTTCTAGTGACTGTCACCTTCCTGCTGGTGGCACTGAGAAAAAGTCAGCATCTTACACTCTCCTGCACATAGACATATGTCTATATAACTTTATATAACTAAATAACTCTATATAACTAAGTAACTTTGTGCTGCTCTCCAGCTCTGCAGATTCATTCAGTCAAAACTTGACACAAGAAGAACTATAACCTAAACTTCAGGTGTCAGCTGAAGGGATTTTGCACCTGTGGTGAAAGCTAAAATAAATAGGTCCTTGCCTACCACAGGTATGATGCAGATTCCAGAACATCTAAGAGCAGTAAAGAGACATAGGGGAAAAAATATAAATAAATAATAAAAAAATAATCCTAATTTTAAAGAAAGAAATCACAGACAGTGAGAGAAATAGATTTATGGGTCTACATTTGCACCCAAATATAATGTTAATGTAGAAATTGTCACTTCTGTGTGTGTGTGCAAGTAATTGTTACTGCTATTTATATATAGCTCTATATTTAAGTATAATACTTAAAAATAATATAAAGGCTAAGTTTCTTAGCTTAGCCATTGTAGGAGATGAAACTATTAAAACAAGAAAGCTTGTGCAATGTTTAAAAAAAATGTTTAAAAAAGGAGTCACTTTTTGTTTGCCCAGCCCTCTTCAGTAGAAATTGCGATGCTTTGAATCACTGACAGCAAGCACTGAGTTTTTCTTGGTTCGTGTTAGTCACAGGCAGCTTTTGCAACACTGACTGCCTGAATCAGGACTACGCACAGCTTTGTTGTGTGTCTGTCTTATGACTGGGCTGGGATGTGTGTATGTGTGTGCAAGAACATTTTTTCATTCTAGGCACTGATTGGGATCATCAGAGAAAAGTCCTTGCTGAGTAACACTCTCTGGATTTCTGTTTCCACATCTAATACTTTCACCTATGAAAACTGCATTAGGACAAACAAATGGAAAATAATCTCGCCGATGAGGAGTCTGTTATGACCATGCCTGTTGCTGCCTTCAGTTTGGCATGATTTCTGTAGTTAAGAGAGAGGCAATTTTCCTGAGGCCATATCTGCTGAATCACATGAAAGAGGAAAATGAGAACAGTAACTGCTCATTTTTGAAACTCCACATCTGAGATTCAGCATTCTTATGAAAATTGCAGTTGAGGGAGAAGAAGTGCATGAATAATTCCTATATTCTAGTGCTCCTATTCCTTGTGGGAATGTGGTTTGAATTTCTGTGGCTTGAGTCCATCTCAAGTCACGTGTTCAGGATGCTGGGAAGAGGAGAGGGAGGAAGAAGGATGTTACTGGAAATT